CCCTACCTGCTGGGTCTCAGGCGTATGTGGCTAGCACCCCTACCTGCTGGGTCTCAGGCGTATGTGGCTAGCACCCCTACCTGCTGGGTCTCAGGTGTATGTGGCTGGCACCCCTACCTGCTGGGTCTCAGGTGTATGTGGCTAGCACCCTTGTCTGCTGAGCCATCTCCCTGCCCCGCCTGGTGCTTTTAGTTTTCCCTTGAAGTCTTCATTTTTCTTCTCAGTTTGGACGAACCCACCTCGGCCAGCGGACCATCCTGGTGCTTTCCACTCCACTTTGAGCATGTCCTTACATTGTGGCCTTCACTGAAGGCTCTTTTGTGTAGTCTTCCTACACTAGTCAGCCATTCCCTAGAAGCCTGCTTCTTTCAGTGCATCGGTAGCTCAGGCTAGCACCTGGGTTCAGGTGAACTTCTGCCACTTCTTGCCATTACCATTGAAAGCAGCTGGAAAGACTAAATTCTAAGTTCTTTCCAGTTGCATTTTGCTCACTGGGGAGAGGCTGGCATCTGTTCACACTTTGTAGCCACATGCATTTCTTCCTTGTGAATTGCTTATTTAAGCCCCTTAAATAATTTATTCTGGGATCTCAAGCTTATTAAAACAAGGTAACACATTATAACACATACATGGTGTCAGGCACACAGTAGAGTTACGTACTGCTGTTACCACTTGGGCATCACTCTTCATTGCAAGTGTCAGGGTGGCTTTTAAACCCCAGACGTTGTTGATCTAGTCACCTCCAGTGGTGCCGCTTGTCACTGCCCAGAGCTTACGGGTCAGTGAGTCACACCCACATGGCACTCACTTCACCCTGGTGCCGGAAGCTGGGGCCTGCCATACACCACCACAGCTCCCTGTCCTATCCCACTTTGCAGGAGGTGGACTGGGAGGTGGAACTGGCCGTCATCATTGGCAAGAAAGGCAAGCACATCAAGGTGAGGTGGAAGGGAGCTCCCGGCCGGGGAGGAGCAACAGCCCCGCCCCTGCCCTTGCTGGTACTGGGCCAGCTGCCTTACACTGGGCCGCCTTTGGCTAGCGCTCGTGCTAGTGTGTGATAATGGCTTTGAGATTCTTCGTTCTAGGGATTGTCACCTGTGATGTAACCTGTCTGGCCAAATCTCCTGCCCCAACAGGCCACAGATGCCATGGCTCACGTGGCTGGCTTCACTGTGGCTCATGACGTGAGTGCTCGGGACTGGCAGATGAGACGCAATGGAAAGCAGTGGTTACTGGGAAAAACCTTTGATACTTTCTGCCCCCTGGGCCCTGCCTTGGTTACCAGGGACAGCATAGCAGGTAGGTTGCTAGTCTTTGCCCCTTGTACCCTCCCGTGTGCGGTACCTGAGTGTCAGGAGAAAACAGTGCTCCGGCAAGGACTATGGTTACAAGTACATGGGGAACTTCTTCCAGAGCCCCTTAGAGGGAACACAGCCGCAGCTGCTGTGAAATCACACCCACAAAATGACCTGCAGAGAGCACTGTGCTTGGTGGGGGCTCTCCAGCTTCCCTATCTGGAACAGTCAGTCGCTAAGCTGAAGGAAGCAAGGCTGGCTCTTGAACGTGGTGGAGAGTGGCCGTGATGAAGCCCGTTCGTTTTTCCTAAGGGAGATGGGAGAGCACCAACAGGACCGTGCCCATCCACTGGGCACTCATCCCTGGAGGGTGGCATGACTATGGGGGTGAGCCCCTCAGTACAGCAGTGCCTCAGAAGCTGTATTCCAGCTCTGAGAGAGGTGTGAGATAGTTTGGGTAGACCCATTGTCTGCTGCTGTTATCCCTGTTGCTCTGGAGATGTTAAGTCATTTCAGATCTAGTTACCAGCCTCTGCTGGGGATTGATGCCCTTTTTTTCTTTTTTATTTTTTTATATTTTTGATTTTTTTTCTACTTTATTTTATTGAGATATTTTAAATATGTAGATAGTATAATTGATAACCATGACTACACTGTTTAAAACACTATTACATTTATTTTTGTGTATGTCTATGTGCATGCCATGGTACTTGGATAGAGGTCAGATTTTTCCGGAGTTGGTTCTCTTCTCCTGCCGTGTGGGTCCCAGGGATCAAACCCAGGCCCCCAGGCTTGGCAGTAAGTGCCTCTACCTGCTGAGCCATCTTGCCTGGCCTGCGTGCCCATTTTTTAAAGACAAATTCCTCAGCTGTTTTTCTCCCTGTTCAGAGTCTAGAATGTCCCTCCTCTCCTCACTTAAAGAGCTACTGCTGTTGATGCAGGAATTCAGGGAATTCCAGTCTGTACAGGAAGTCCCAATGTAAAGTGCTAAGCCAAGGTGGGCAGACATGCTCCTTACAGTTTCCTCTTTCCTTTGGGGCTGGTGTAGGGGGTGGATAACCCCACAGTATTATTTTGAATTCCAGATCCACACAATTTAAAGATCTGCTGTCGAGTGAATGGGGAGGAAGTCCAGAGCAGCAACACCAACCAGATGGTGTTCAAGACTGAAGACCTCATAGCCTGGGTTTCCCAGTAAGTGGGTGGAGCCTATCACGGCCAGTCCCACCATGGCACACCTGGAAACAGAGCCCCTCTCAGCCCACGGTCTCACCTGGCCCCCTGCTTCCCCTAGGTTTGTCACTCTTTATCCGGGGGACGTCATCCTGACTGGGACTCCTCCAGGGGTTGGTGTGTTTAGGAAGCCTCCCGTCTTTCTCAAGGTAAGTTAGTTTAAAAGAGGAAATGGTAGAGAGAGAGCTAGGGAGGCCTGGCAGGTTTGGAGCAGCCTACGGGAGTGAAATGGGGAGAGGCTGACTCTTCGGGAGCCAAAGGTTGACGTCCCGGTGGCCTGCTGCCTTACAGAAGGGTGATGAAGTCCAGTGTGAGATTGAAGACATCGGTGTCATCATCAACAGGGTGGTGTGATGGCGTCCCTGTAAGCACTGGCCTGCCCACTGGAGGTGCTCTTAGGTGGACCTTGGAAATAAACTTTCTAGAGTTGCAGCTCAGCTTCTCCTGTCTTTTAGCCCCCCCCCACACACACACACACACACACTCTCCCCCGCCCCGAAGGCGCACCATTTTCACAGGGCTGAGTAAGGAGGGAGTAGATACTGGACACATACTTCAGGCTTAGGGAAGAACCTAACCTAGTGTCTTTATTTATCACACCAAATGATGAGTAAACATGGCTTCTCTAAGGCCGGGTTAGCTGGGTCCTGATCAGGAGGCACAGCTAAGTTCTAGGCTGACAAGTCCCACCAGGTTCCACTTTCTTGTTCTAACTGCAGATGAACTGTCGGATAAATTGTTCCAGCTTGTCCTGGTTGTCCCGGCTGGCAAATGTAGGGGACAGGTGCAGCTGGGGTCCTGCAGGACTGGGCATCTGCTGCAGTACCTGAACCATAAGACGGACTGTGAGCACCCTTGCTGAGGGGACACTGCCCCAAAGGCAAGCCTGCCCCCCCCCCCCCCCCCCCAAAAAAAAAAAAAACTAGTAGTGATGCCTCAGCGCCTGAGTGTAAAGTTCTAGCAGCCCTTGGGCTGGTGATAATGCCTCTCTTACCCCCAGGTCTTTGAACGTCCAGATAGCACTGATAGCAAGGTTTGGGTCTGCACACTCTGGGAAGAAGAGAAAGACAGTGAAAGCTCTGAGGCAAGCCAAGGAGCCACTGGGCAGGGCTTTCCTCCTCTTAAAGGAGAACCAACCAGGGCTTGCATGTAACTAAAGCCCCCTGAATGTGAGCTCTCTTCCACGGAGTCATGCCGCCATTGCCCAGCAGGGGGCAGCAGTCACCAGCAAACCTATCCCCTCCAGGGAGCCTGGGATGGGGCTTGGAACTCACCAAAGATCCCTTCTTCTTGGGCACAGGCCTGTAAAAACTCGAACAACTGCTGCGAGTAGCCCACCTCTGCAGGAGAGATTAGAGCTAGACCCCAGCTCTGCGGGACTGAGCCTTACCCTGAAGGGGGTACTTCCTTACTGCCAAGGGCGTAAAGGGTAAGGCTTACCTGAATCTGGCAGCTGCCCCAAGTGGAGGAAGGCGGCGGCCTGTGCAAAGGCTTTGAGTATGGGACTGAGCAGGCGGCAGAGGAAGAGGAAGAAGTCAGGACAGCGAGACTGCTGGCTAAGCTGGAGAGAGAGCAGAGTGAGGAAGCGGGGCTCCCAGGTACCTCACCGCCTCCACAGCCTCCCTCCCAGGGTGGCTCCTCCCAGCACACCCTGAAGCACCGGCCCCCTGGCTCCTCAAAGTCGTCGCTCTCACTGTCGGTGAAGTCCCCGCTTGGTTTCCACAGCAGCTTCGAGCTCAGGTGCTGTCTTCCCGTGTCACAGGCTGGCCGGGAGCCTGGGGTCTAGGAGTCGGGAGAGTCATTGGTCCTTGGTAAGGCTGGGCAGGAGTCAGCCCTACAGCCCTCACACCTGCTCCTGGCTCTAGCAGGTGAAAGTAGGTCTGGGAAGCCCAAAAGGATGCCCAGAGCTACCTGGGCCAAGTACCCAAGCTCACTAGGAAATGTGGAGGCAGGAGGAGTGAAGAGACCCTTAGAGCCACACATGCAAACTGGCATGACACAGGTAAGCCCAGAGTAGAGGAGACAGGCTTCCATGTGCTGGGCCAGAGGAGCAGCCCGGACATTGGCACTTGGGGGGAGCATACCTCCTCAGCAACCAGGAGCCCACACTGGATGAGCCGGTCCAGCACCTCCTGACAGGAGCAGTAGGAAGACTGGCAGGGCTGCGGGAAGAGAAGCACCACCGCCCTTCAGAGAGCGTGCCTGGGGGGGGGGGGGCTGGCAGATTCCTGACCAGACAGTTGGAGGCCAGGACCACGGCCACAGGAGGTCATGAGGACAGGGCCCAGGGCCCTGGGAGCTGGGGGTCTGACCTGGGGCAGCAGTAGGTCTTGGGGTAGCAGGTGCAGCAACAGGAGGATCTGGCGGTACAGTTCATTCTGACTCAGCAGCTCTATGCCCTGCAGCTCCCAGGGCCCCTCAGGTGGTACTCTGCCGGCCAGCAACCCCCGCACTGCACAGGCTGGCAGAGAAGGAGGCCTACTTAAGGAGGGAACCATTCCCTTCTCCCCTGCACATTCACCCCAACCCGGCAGAGCCCACTGACTCACCACCCACAGCTTCGCTCAGGAAGGTGGGCAGCAATTCCATACTCAGACGTGCTAGATGTGTGAGGCCTGGGCCAGGCCGTGGCACCACCACCAAGTCCCCCTGGTGGACACGCAGCAGAACCACGTGTGCCCTCAGCAGGCTCAGTGTATGCTGGGCCAGGCACCGCAGCTGCCCAGAGAAGCCCACATCAAAGCCACGCAGCAGTGTCTCCTCCGTCAGCCACGAAAACTCCCCCAGGAGCTGTGACAGGACCACGCCCTGCGGCAAAACAGGCCTGAGCAGAGGGCCAAGCGCTGCCCTTCCCTGGGCCCCACCACACAGTGCCCTACCTTCTGGTGCTTCGACAGCAGGAGTGTCGCCATGATGGCTGTGCTCATCACTGCTGAGCTGGCCACACTGGCTGGGGAGGAGGGGAGGGGAGATGCAGGGTGCTGTCAGGGCCTAGAGAGGCCTAATCTCTCCTACCATTTGACAGATCTTCCCAGCCACACAGCCCCAACTCCACCCCAGCAGGAGAGAGCAGGTTCCAGGAAGTAGTTATTACCTGTGCTGTGAACCAGACCCACTCGAAACAGTGTGCTAGCGTGACATTTGAGAAGGCACTAACAGACACTTAAGCAAGTGCCTCTGCAGGCACACGTTGCTACTCCACAGCCACATCCCACTTACAGCTAAGGACACCAGCTGAGGGGCATCTGAGGTGGGGCTGGGTTGGACCTGACATGATCTCCTGCACAGCTGCCTTTGGCTCAGACACTGAGTTCATCTGCTCCCCCTCTCCCTGGATACCCCACTCTGCCGGTGTCCCAAGTGTGCCACAAAGGAGGTCGGGAGGTCAGGTGCTGAAAACCATGGGGTCCTGGTAATTGGCCCTATATAATCCACATAAAGTACTGTTCAAACCACACCGCAAAGGTGCAGATCTGGGTTTCCCTCACCACTCAGGACATGCCGGCTCAGTCTTCTGACCAGGAGCTGGTCCTCCTCTTTGAGGGTCAAGAGGAGGCCAGTTGATGGGGTCCACTCCTGCTCCTTCTCAGTGTCTGGAACAACACTACTGGGATAGAGACACATCAAAGAATGAAACCAGACCAAAACGTCAGTCTAAAGCTTTCCAAACCTAGAGCTGTTTCCCCAAGTCCTGGGAGAACTCAGAACCCTCTCCCCTCCCAGGCCTATGTGCCATCCTGCACTTAGACTGTAGGGAAGTGAGTGTCTGGGGCTGATATTCTGGGATGGTTGGAGTGGCCACTAGTTGAAGAGCCGCCTGCCTCCCTTCTGAGACCCACACATCTGTGCTCCTTACCATTCACCTAGCACAATGGGCTGTAACAAGTGTTCCAGGGTCTGCCTGCTACCCCAGCAGCTTCTAGCATTGATGGCGTATTCCTGCCCAGGATAAAGACGTGTGGTCTGCTCTTGCCCCCCAGGAAACCTGCACACAGACCATCTAAGACAGGAAATACTATCCCTACAATGGCTTTGAAGGCCAAACAAACCACCACAAAGACTCTCCCAGCCTTTCCCAGCTGCTTTCATACCTGGAGGGAGAATGGCTGGGCAAGGTGCACACGGACACAGGCTCTGCGGTTGCAGCCCCAGCAGTTACACAGTTTCCGAAAGACGGCCAAGGCTCCTGTCCACAGCCCCAGGGGAGCCAAGTCCTGCAGGAGAGGAGAGGCCGCACGTGTATTCTTGGCCAGTCTCAGGGCTGCTACCCATTTTGCCCTCCAGACTGCTCACTGGTCTTCTCCAAGCTGTCTTTTCACCCATGACCTCCCTTGTGGGGTCTGGTGATGGCAAAGACCTTGGGTGATATTGCAGGGTGGTAACTGTAGGGACAGTTCCTTTACACACACTTCATATTCCAATTTGACTTCAGTTCTAAAGGAGCCTGATCATAGAACATATTGTGCCACCCAGAAGTGGTGTCCACTTGGGGTCCCCAGGAACAAGAGGGTCTCACGTGGTTCATGTCACATGGTGCATCTGGAACCAGGTCATAGGCAATGGCAACTGGTACCAGTGTAGCATCTGGGATGATGCCCTCCTGGACCACTTGGACCACCAGTCCTAGCCAAGCCTGGCCCAGGGCTGAAAGCCTGGGCCCTGGGTACCCAGGGGGCTCTTCAAGGAAGATGAGCAGAGGCTGCCCACTGGCAAGCAGCTGCTCCACAGTCTAGAAGGGAAGAGGAAGGGTGGCTAGATCAGAGGCAGACCCCTGTACCCTTGGCCCACCCCATACATAACCACTGGGAGCACTCACTGCACGGACCACAGCCCTCGCGAGGATGCCGTCTGAGCTGTCCAAGGAGAGGTTGGCCTCTGGGGGCAGGAAAAGTCCCCCAAGTTTCCTCAGTAGAGCTCTGTGAGTACAGGACAGACATAGTGAGCAGGGGCTCTGGAGGAGAGACTGGGCCCAGAGGCCTGTCAAGTGCCTTGCCTCTCCCAGGCCTGTCTGTCTAGACACTTGAAGCAGCCATGGCCCAGGGACCCATAGCCAACCATCCGAGTCTACAGGCTGGCCTGTCATATGGCTGAAAACAGACTAAGAAGGCAAAATGACTTCCATCCCCCTGCTCCAGCCTGGGATTTCCCTCCTGTCCTACCTGAGAGCAGGGGAGCAGGTGCGGGGGTCCAAAGCCACACGGACCACACCCAGGCCCTGGGAGAACAGCACAAAAGGCAGCAGGAACCCGTCCAAGAGTGACTTGTGTGTAGAAAGGAAAACAAGCGGCGAGCCCTGCTCCAGAGACAGCCAGAAGGAAGTACTCACCATAAAATATAGCCAAACCCCAGCACCTCCAAGTCCCAGGGCAGCACTGGGGGGGGGGGTGTCCCCCTGCACATTTCCTAAAGGTAGAGCAGCCTGCCTAAAACTT